GCTGACCTTTTCTGGCCTTGAATCCAGATGACTGTACCAATCTCGGTACCTCTGTGCTGTACTTAATGTAGGATTCAAATTCGAGAGCTCTGGCCATTGCATCCTGCATGGTAGAGGGGTATGCTTGCTTCACTTGTATCTTAAGTTGAGGACTGTCCAAGGCATCTACGAACTGATCCCTCAGCAACAACTTGAGGAGATCGGGTGGTGCAGTTGGGTAGGCCTTGTGTGCCATGCTTTCCAAGTCTTGTGCCAGCTCTTGCAGGCTCTCCCCTTTAGCACGGATTATCGTCCTAAACCTTGCCCTGTAGACTTCTGACTGATTCTGGGTTCCGTACCTGAGTTCTAGAGCCGCTACCAGTGCTCCATAGTTGTGTCTGTCGTCTGCTGATAATTGTCCAAGTATTTCCAGTGGTTGTCCCTTCAAGCTCGTTGCCAGATATACAGCTTTCTGCTCCTCTGTCCATCCATTCATCTCTGCCAGTAACTCAAACTGTGCTCTATATGCTTCCCATGGTTCCTTCCCATCATATTCCTGTGGCTTCCTTCACACTGGATCACTCCTATTACTAACATTCATATCTGGGATGTGACTTCTAACGGGACTGAATATGTCTGCATTAGGGTTTAGCTGCGGGCTCTGTAAGGGGCTTGCCATTGTCTGGGGCTGATTAAGTCGATGGTCAATGTATCCTTCTTGTGTAAAAGACCAAAAGTCGTCCTTTAACGTATCTAATTCGCTTTTAAATTTACTAATGTTTTCCATTTGTACTTCTTGCCACTGTTGTAGTCTCTCTTCTTGTTTCTTTTCTTTTTCCTCCAACCACTGCTGTAATTTCTCTTCTCGTTCTTCTTGTTTCTTTTCTTTTTCCTCCAACCACTGCTGTAATTTCTCTTCTCGTTCTTCTTGTTTCTTTTCTTGTTTATTTTGTTGTTCTTGTATTGCTGCCATCAAATCTGCTAAACTGTAGTTTGATTTGCCGCTTCTCGTTTCCATCTTCTCTTTTTCTTATTTTTTTTCATCCCACTTTCTGACACCAATTTGTTACGTCTCCGTTTGTTAATTGATTTCCCGTAAATTCGTTCCGACGAAACTTTAGCGACACAAGTCCTTACTTAATAAAACTGGTTTATTCTTTCCAAATATAACTTTACGATACACTTAATTTTAACAATCGCGCTGAAACAAACGCTATAACAACGAATGTGTTCAACTTCAATAATACTCTCTGACTGCAGATCAATTACTCACTGTCTACACACAGATTGTCACGTCGTGACCATCTTATATATATCAGACCCCCCCCCCCAACTCTAGTAAATTCTAGAGCACTCTCGAAGGAACGGGATAGTTATAGAAACGTGGCGTGACACTAGTCACGTGACCTCGCTGACGCAACAGTATTCATACTGACATCAGCATGGTTTTTAATCTGAGATCTGATAATTAGATGCAGATGATCCAGTTTCAGGAATGTTGTTTTCAGGTTTTTTACAACAACTAACACAAGTATAAGAGATTTATGAAGTGCTTGTGGATTTGTTTATTCTATTTACCCTTATTCTAAAGACCAAATACATTTTTTCATTATAATCATTAACAGCAAAGAGCATGACTGCTACATGACTATAGCATTGTAAAGGAGAAGTCTTACCATCACAGGCTTCATCTTGAATAAATCCAGATTTCATTGACATTGTTGCTGACACATTGTACAATTTTTGGTGTCAAAAAAGCCCATAATTTTGCTTTTAAAAAGTAATGGTCATTAGAAGAACAGTTTTGGATATCTTTAACTTGTCCACCTTCAAAATGTATTTGTCCTCTCCTTGAAGGTTTATCTGTGTACAAACATGACACTGACCATTTTTCACAGTCACTGCAGTCTATTTTATTAGAAATATGTTTTGATGGGTCTGATTCAATCATGTAATAGTGTATGTGATCCCCAATTAAATGTGCATCAAATGAGAGTAGATGGAAAATGTTTCTAACCATTGACTGGCAATACTGGAGGATGATTCTCCGATATACTTAGCTGAGTGTATTAATGTACTTTCTGTTCATACTACTTTCAATTGCCAATTCAAATAATTCCAGTAATTAATCATATTACCACATCCAATTTTTATCCTTAAATAAAAATATTATATATGGTTAATCTACAACATTTAGTATTTAATTATAAGGTAAGTAATTTAACTTGTCAAATAATGAAATGAATTGTTTTCAATATGGAGAACAAACTCTTTGCTGCAGGTATGATTGTTAGATCTATTCAAAGCAATAATAAAACTGTTATTCAAACTCAGATTGATACTTACTGTTTCACTGAATCAAGTTTTACCACCTATAGGTAAGTCTCGGCACATCAGTCATTGCTTTAGTTGAGTAAATAAATGATCAAATAATAACCAAGAAATAACATCTTCTGTAAAAATAATATATTTAATTTTTTGCATACTTTCATGTTCTGCCATCATCACTGTTACAGAATTAACAAATGCATCATTTGCTTGATGGTACATGAAGAATATCAGTAGTTGTATATTTTGACACCATTTGGAGATGATTCCATTACAAAATGATAGCAACAGAAATCTTTATAGTAATATAGTAATCACAAAAATAACCTGTATAATAATGTTTTTACTCTAAATGTCAGTAACTGAATAGGCGATTTTTACTAAACTTTAAACAATATTCCTATTTTTTAAGAAACTTTTTATAACTCAAAATTAAAACTTTCTTACTCTGTAAGCAGTCTGCATTTAACAAGTCCTTACACTTCTCATGACACTTGACTCCACATTCTGTACAACGAACACCCTGTCTAGCTATTCCCCAGAGTAGACCTTCACATTCATAACAATAGGTTGGTGAGGTGGCTGTCCAAGGTTGGAAGTTGTGAGGGGTAGTGCTGGAGATGGGGTACAACAATGCTTGCAGTGTCTTTTTGTATACATGCATTTTCTGTGACAGGTAAACATGAAAAGTAAAGATGTTAGTATATATAGGGAGTTATCTACACTTAAATAAGAAGGGAGGGGCTGGTTTGTCACCATTACATAATGGATTAGGGGGTGTTCTGACCCGTGTTTCCAAATGTTGCATAGGATTGGGGGGGGGAAGGGTGTCAAGAAGGGAGAAAAATTGCATTATGTAATTTTTTTTAATGACCCCACCCCCTTTCAATAAGAGGATAATTTAAGATAATAACCATAAAGAAGGTCAGACATATGGGTGAAGTATTGTGAAACCCAGTTTTATGAACAGTTGAAGAAGTTAGTTATGATAATGGTAACCTTCAAACAACATTTAATAATAAAACATAATATTAACTTAGTAAAAACACCACACTATTAAATACTCTTTCTTTAGATCATGCAGAAGCATTAAGCTGCAATAAAAAAACATGAATTACTCTGAGTTGGTTTTAACAACTGCAAACAATAATATAAAGATATATTGATTACTCTAAGCATCATCTTTAAGTTAAAACAAATAAACAAAACTCATCTTGAATAAAATTTTATTTCAACAGCTATACTAACCAATTCCTCATCATTTAAGGACTGCCGAGGTACTACAGATGTCAAGCCAGCATTTCTCTTCGTTGCTGCCATGGTCTAAACGGTTCATGAACATTGAAAACTAGATTTTAATTGTCCAACAATACAAGCAAACATTATAAAATACAGATAAAATTAACATCTTATATTTTTGTTTAATAACTTAGGTTTTATGTTACAGATTTTAAAATGAACAGCAGTTTGAACATATATTAATTGGTAATGTCATTCTGGTACTTGGATCAGCACCATTTTACAATTTAGAAACATAGTAAAACTAGCTGTGGTGATTTTGTTTCATCTGCTGTTTGCACTTTCCAAATGCTAATCAAACAACAAACATCTGAAAAAACAAATATCTACTTTGTTTTGTCACATAACTTTATTTAGTCATCATTAATTCTTTTTGAAAGAGTTTTATACAAAATGCATTATTTTAACATGCAGATTGTAACTGGTCAATTTTCAAGAAGATTTGAGAATTAATTTGGTGTGAAATCAATATTTCACAGTTTTTTTTATTTTTTTTTATTTTACTGCAGATATTTAAATTACTAGTTAAAAAGACAAAATTAACCACAAAATTACTTATGTAAGTGCCTTTTCTCACATAAAAATTCATACAGTTATATTACAAGCTTGTGGTGAAGCAAAACATAAGTAAGAATTTCATTCATAGATAATCTTTAAAGATATATGCAGACAATGAATTGATAATAATTACTATTAATAATTGATAATTATTATTAATAATTAATAATTTTTTACATTACTTTCTAAATTTGACATCTTTTGTTCCTGTTATGTAAGCTAAAAATAATCAGTTGGTAACTAGCACAGGCAACATTTATATATTTATTTTCTGCAAATATAACACTTTATGAGAATAAGGTTTAAACACAGTAAAATACCATAAGACAAATACCTTGAGCACCTGGCCACAGAAAGCAAAAAAAAAACAACAGAGAGAGAGATTAATCAATTTCTCAATGTGTGACACAGACAATGATTGTAATTGGCAGTAAACCCATTACTTCAAATGTTCTTAACAAAAACTGCAAAACTTCATTTATGCTTAATTTGGTTTCTGAACATTCTAACATTTAACAGTCTTAATAGAAATGATAAAGAAATCAAAATATATTTACAAAAGTGCAATGTTCTAGCTCATATTTAAAAACTGAATTTGAGAGTTTACTTCATCTGGGTTTTCTGAGTCTAATCATTTCATGAAAAAGTATACAATGATCCAAGATCATTTAATGCTGACTGGTTTTAACATCAGTAAATATTTATATTACATACCTTATAACAGTGAGAGCTTAATATTACATTATGTAATAGGCTAGTTGTACAACACGTTTTTCATAATAAAGATACTTAAAGGTATATATATTTTTTGTTTTCAAGAAAGAAAAAAATAGATTGATTTCATAACAATGCCATAATTATTCAAGAAATTAAAAAATTTCATTTAAATTACATCACTCAATATGAATATCAAAACACATACAAATTACAAAGACTGCTTAATATGTACCAATGACAAAAATGTATAGGTATCTGAAGGTTTACATTTATATCTGTAAACTGTTTTAAATTAGGATAAAAAAGATAACTAGCATAGAGAATTATAACCTTGTTTTTTTTAAATACTGGAAGAATTAATGCTTTTAAATTAACCTGTTTTTGTAGTAACAAAGCTTTTTCTCTTTGTTTACTCATATGAGCATTCCTAGTTTCAAGAAACAAAAGCTAAACTAACTGGTATATAACAAACCACTTACTAGCTCACTAACTAAAGGTATTGATTTTTTCCTGGGTCTAATGTCTGGCATGGAGTCAATATTACTGTAGAAAGGATTATCTTCAAGCCTAAAAATACAGAGATATCATATTACTACAGAAATAGTTTAAGAATAAATAATCCCAAACACTTAATATTACATACAAAAATTACTTCAAGACTAGAAAAACAGCACAATGATCTGGTATTAATTAATAGATCAGCTTTGAGTCTGGAAGGTTGATTTTATTTCAGAAAAGTTTGACTTAAAGCTTGGAAAGGGTTAATTTCAAAGTAACAAATGCAAGGTGAAACAAAATATTGTTCAGTTAAGGAACAATAGAAAATGTTTTGAGACATGTATCCTTGCAACTTCATTTAAGTTCTTTAAGGTCACTGATCGTTTTATAGATAATTATCTTGTGCTGAAGACTATGGGGCATTGAAAAGTTTATTTTAATCACTTAAGACTTGCATCTGTGACTTATAATAATTTAAGCTATAAAAAGTACAACAACTAAATGTTACCTTAGAATAGGTTTACATTAAGCTTAAAAAAGCACAAGCATTCAAAGTTATTGCCAAAAGAATTGACTTTAAAGCCAAGAAAAGTAAAAAGATTAAATATATAAGTAAATGTTGATTTCATAGTAAGCCTAAACAAGAATAAAGATTCAATACTACATCCAAAGGGGTAGAAATAATTATCATCAAGCCAAAATAATACAGAAAGTTAGTCATATTAGTGAAAAATTATTTATCTTTAAGCCTGGAAGGATGCCTCATAAACACCACCAGATAATCTTTTATCTTTCAACCTGGCAAATAATTATTCACTACTACTATGCAGGTCTGCATTCCTTGACTATTACAACACATGGATTTTATTATTAACAACAAGATAATTTAAAGGTTAGAATAATATAGTCATTATTACTTGATAAAATGTTATCCTCCTTAGCTGGCCTAACACTTGGTGAGTATTACTGAATGAAATATTACATTCCAACTTAAATTTGGAAAGTGCCAGTATTATATAAATAGAGTGTTCAGATGTAGAAATTGAATATATGTACTATGAATGAAATAATATATTATAACCTGAAGTAATAGTGACCTAACTATGCACCCAATATATTGATTTGAACAATGTTATAATATGTTAATTTCTACAGGTATATAAAAACAAATCTCACTAAAGTTTTTCTAACTCTTGTGTTTTGTGTATTGGAGCATAGACTGGCAATGTAGTAGCAGATAAAACTCGTTGCTAGCATAGGGCTGACTGGTTCCAATGCTGAAGTGCAGATCACATTCAAGAAATACCTCTATTGATGAGAGTACCTTCTAGGAAATAAGTGGAGGGCACATTTCATTAGCAATTAAACTTGTCTGAGGCTTGCATTTGTATGCCTCTAAAAGTAATGTGACTAAAATATTGCCAAAATTGGACAACATTTCAGGTGGATACATAAGTCTCCATAAAATATTATATATTGTCCCCATCACTAAGTAATGTGATCTTTTCTAGACAGTAGTAAAGCTACTACTGCTGAAAAAATATCATCTTTCACATTCAGTCAATTTTTCTTCAAATCATATCATCTACACTTAAGTAATTCTTGTGAATAATAACTGTATAAGCTTTTATATTATACACCACATCATCACTCGATTAGTGTTAGTAAGCAGTCATATTGTGCAGGTTAAGATAACATACTATTTATTATTAAAATAGAGTTGTGTTATTCCACTTTGGAAGACAATAAGCTACTATTACTAGTGTGTTATCTTCTGGAGTGAAATAACACAAGATAACATATTAGAGTTTACACTAATATAACACTTATTCATTACAACAAAGAAATACATGTATGTAAGTTTTCAATAATGCTATAACATGTTATATCAAATTGAAATTAGTATACAAAATTAGGTATTGTTG